ATTTCGATTTTCTATTGTGAAATTTCCTTATTCACAAATACGCACTCAGTCTTAGAAATGTGAACTCTTTCTTAAAATGGCTTCTTTTTGTCATATTTGTAAAATGAATACATCGAAAGATTAATTCAGAAAGTGCACTACACAAATTTTCTCTTTAAAAACTAACACATATCTTTTTTGATAGATTTTGAACAAAAGGTAATATTATGAAACGGCGACTGTTTTGATTATACCCCACGGAATACTCTTGTCAACAGACTTAGTAATTGATAGCTCATGTCGAAAATAAAGAGTAATTTACTAACACTTTCTCGCAATCAACGGCCACTAAGCATCTAGTCCTCTCGGGAACTAAATTAGAAAATAAACCAATAAATTATTACATTAGTTAAATCGCTTCTCGACAAGCACGACTCTACGTGACCATTCTCCATATACACTGGATTGATTCAGCTACTCGTTTAAAATCTAATAAAAACTCAACCAACAATATTTGCTTATTCGATCCATTAGATTTATTTGTCCAAAACAATTTCCAAAGCTTAATCTACCCTCTTTTAACAAACATGAAAACCAGTCACGCCCTCTTCAATAAGTGGAAACTGTTAGTGATGACTTTCTGACGTGGTATTGAATAGTTATAGAACGTTTAAAGGAGCCGATACGTTGTATAAGACACTTAGGGTGTACACTTTGGAGTTTATAGGGCATGCCTCACATTCAGAACTGAGGTTGCCCCCCCCCCCCCCTTCATAGGTAAAGAATTATTTGTGATGGTCAAAACCCCCATCCACACCCTTGCCCCTACCCGACCCTTCCTTGATTAATTTCTTGCTCAAAATCCAAGTTAAAATGGACGAAAAGAAAACAAAAGACGACATCAAGCAATTATGAAGAACAATTAAACGGACAATTGAATACAACAAAGAAAGTGATTCCAATTAACTTTAGTGCCATTGCGCTGTTGGACTATCAGAGCTCGTAGTAAGCCTGATTTCGATTGGCAGTGGAGTGTTTATCCCTTGATGCTATCCTTTCTTTCAGACGCTCGAATCTCTTTTACCATTCTTCATTAATTAACACTCTGAGTCTAACGCGTTATTGAGTGAAACGAATTTGTTAAATTAATAAAGAGGACACTTAATATTTGAAGAGTGAAATCCGGGGATAATAAAGCTTTTATAAGTGATGGCGACTTGATCATCATGATGAGACCTTAATGTCAAATGTATTAGGGAAGACGAGCTTATTGACAAATGGTGGAGATTTACAGAAAAGCCAACAAGAAAAGTCACTCTTTCAATCAAGTGTATTCGAGAAACAGATAGCAGACGAGAGGCACGCTTATTAAAGTGCATATCAAATTAAAGGGATTGTAAAGAGTTTTTCAAAACTTTTTATGTGAATTGAGGAACCTAATAGAATCGATTTGCACAATTTTAATTTTCAATCAGACGTCTGCGGTTCTTGCAATTTTACTATAACTAGACGTTTTATGGCGTCACTATCGCAAAGGTTTTTATATTTCAATGACAGTTTTTGCATGAGTGACGTCATTTAACGCTTATTTTAGTGGTATCGCAAGAAAGTCTGACTGAAAATTAATTTTGATGGTGCAAATCAATGCTACCAGTGTCTCCGAGGCACACAAAAAGTTTAGAAAATCTCTTTGCAAACTCTTTGCAATCCCTTTCAAGGAGATATTTAAACGTAGGTGGATTCTATTCTATGATAGCTTTATTCAATTTTCATATTTTTGATTAAATTTCTAATAAAAGGAATTCATATTAATTAATGATCTAATTATTGATTAATATTACGAATTATCATAATGGCGTTACAATGTTATCAAAAATCAATTTGTAAACATAGGAAAAAATATTTATAGAAATAATATATTCATTAAAACAAGGTAGCACATGTAGATTTGTTTTCGTGTGACCAAATATGTGAACCGCATCACACACACATTGTTAAAACTAACAAAACATTATTAAGCTAACCAGCGCTTGTAAATGAATAGTCCTTGCTTCGGACCTAGGCCCGTGCTTTCTATGAGTTAAATTCTTATTCCACCTTAACACAAAAATTAATCAAAATAACAAAAACTATATTTACTTTTTCATTAAAGTAGAGTGTGCCGGATTAAAAATAACAAAAATTGTTAAAAAAAATATTACGTCTTCATTTTGTATTTATCGATCAAATTTTAGGAACATGAAGGAATCATTCTTGGATGTTACCTAGGTTATATAATAAACAGAGAAATCCTTGATTAAAGAACATCGTTTAATGTTATAAAAATTGTACGAAATAGATACATTTTCATCATACCAGTTCAGTTCAGTTATAACTGCTTCTAGATTAGTTAGTGTTGGTATATAAATCATTTTTAATATATCTAGTGTATTGACATTTACTCCTAATTTCAAAATATTCATAGGGTACCAATGAAAATAATTTTTTTTATATTGAGTCTCTACAAGAAAAAATCCTGACGGCGTTTTTAAAGGGGGAAGGGGTTATGATGGAACCCCCCCTAGAAAACAGGCTGACCCGATTGTTCCCGCACATAATGTTTCCTAAAAACGCCACTGTAACCAAGGAGAATTTCCATTTCTATGACCAGGGTTTTCAAGACAAATCTCAGCATCCTTTCTCAGGATCAATCGGAGCAGCAAGATTAGAATCAGCGATAGAAACACCCCTTTATTTGATGCAATTTCACTTCATTAAAACTACATTTCGATTACCAAGACTCTTTCATTAAAAACACTATTTAATAAGCCGACAAGAAGATCAAGACAAAATTTGGTAATAAAAAATTGAAAATGACAAAGCAATCTCTTCACTATTCTAAAATCCATTCATTCAACTCTTTCTTTTCGTTTCTCCTTCATTCATACTCTCGAGGTTGAAGGTACGAACAAATTTTCCCCTAAACTGGGCGCATTGAAAACATTTATTAGTGTTATGAGGCTGCGCAATGCCCCTGAACATCACACATACTGGTTTTAAATAGGAAAAGAATTAGAATCTGGTAAAGGAAATTGGAGCTACGATATATCGCGTTATGGAAGACTGAAGTTGAAAGCTTTTTCAATTACTGCCTAAAGCGATTTAGAATATTGGCCAAGGAGCAGATGATTTCGGGGAAGATAATTAGAAAACTTGCTCTAATCTAATTAATCTGATACGTTCTCTAACACTCTGCTGTTTATTATAACAAAATGAACATTCAGTACAATAACAAGCGCAATGGTTGGTCCTTTTAGGCTTTATGTTGATAGAAAGGGGGGAATAACTCATTCAAGAATGTCTCTTTCTTTCAACCCTTTTGATACAATGATGTACAATGATGGAAATAAAACCGCATAGGCCCTTTCTCTCATTGCACACTGCATGGCTTTGCCGGTCTTAAGCCTAAAAGGTAGGCTCTATTACATTTTATTTCCCCTGGGTCTGTCACAACCACTTTCACCTCTGTTGAATTCGGGCTGCAAATATCGAGTTTACTTTTAAATTAATGATGACCTCGTAGGCTAAAATGTATCTTAAAATTCGAAAGTTGTTCATTAAAGAAATTGAGTGAATTTAATTTCGAATTTCTTTCTTCTCAGAGTATCGTTTAGTTACCCCCACATTCCAAGGGCGCATTGAGGCTTTGATTCTCGGCTCATTTAAGTACAAGGGGTTAATTCGGTGTGTAAATGTATTTTAATATAAATTGAATTTAATAAGTTGGTTGACCCAAGCTACCCTTTAGTAAAGACCCCGATAAGAATACTCCAATTCAATATTCAGAGAAACCCTATACACTGTCATTAATGAAGGCAAAAGACAAGAATGAAGTTAAAACTGTCAATAAATAGAGTATAATTGATCAATTTGGAGAGATTTGTATTCACTTAAATGGCACGTTTTGCTGTCAAATTTCCACTTGTCAATCAAATTCGATCCTTGTATTTTTAATCCACCACAAACAATGCTCGTCTCTTTCCGTCAACAGACTCGATTAGCATGAAAATAGGTGACGAGCGGCACAGCTTGTTTTAGCACTATCTAATTCCATGAAAAGGGCTTTAATATGAACTGTTAAGTCGATGAACTTGACTTGCTATTCGATTATTTTCATTCTATTAATTCGTCATTAATACCCAAGAGTGGCGAGCTTTCTCTGCCTTTAATGTCAGGACCAAAACATGACCCCTATTGACCCGGAGCATCATAACCCGTGACGTCAAGGATATTGGTGCACTCTTTTGTTAGTGGGGACATCTGGTGACAGATTAGTGAGTTAAAATTAATAATTGGTAGTCGTCTAATTATTTCCTCTCTGTAATCACAGGTGCATTTTATTCACCATTTCTCAAACCTATCAAATACACGTGCGATTTATGTCACGCTCTTTCTAACTTTGAAAAGAATGTGTAGCAATTAAAAATAAATTAACATGATCTTAATATGATGAATCGCCATATAATTGAAATTAAAATAGCTAATAACAGGAAACTGCAACTTTGTTAAAACGTGAATAGTTAAGAATTAAAACAAGCACAATTGTTTTTTTGTCAAAATACTTTGTTATTTCTATTAAATATATTTTATGTCATTTTCACAGCTTCTAGACTCCAGCTTTAAATATTCGTTACAAGACTACTTTTCAAGTTGAAAATATCCACGTGGAGTTCTTCTACAATTACATAAATGTGGAGTGTTGTCAGTAACGAAAGTGTCGATTATGGTTTGCTTCGAACAAATTGCTTGATTACATCGGACACGAAAATAACTAATTGTAATGCTAATGCCATTACCAATCAAAATTTGGCATTTTCAGATTGAGTTTCTGTCAAAACTTGATAGTTTAATCACTTTGGTAGGATTATTCTATTTTTTTTTTATCTTAAGTCATAGTTTGATTCAAACCAAAAAAGTTCAGAAGAATACTTAACGGAGAAAAAACACCACTGTTGTCTGTAGTAACTCGATGAGTTATTGGAGTGATCTCCCTTAGTATAGTTTTCCGAAAAATGAGCAGAAAGCGTCGTTACAGGTCTGCTGGGATACTAAAATGGCTGCCTGATGTTCAGAAAAAAGTTAATGGAACTAAAATAGCCTAGATTTTGTTCATAAAAAGTAAAAATAAACAAATATGCCTTACGCACCAAGACAGCAAGGGCCCTCCTGCTTTGACCGAATTAAAATGGGCTTCACAATGGGAATGTGTGTCGGAATGGCCTCAGGGTTTGTGTTCGGTGGATTCACGTGTTTGCGATACGGAATGAGAGGTCGCGAACTGATCCAAACATTAGGCAAGACAATGCTTCAAGGAGGTGGAACATTTGGAACATTTATGGCTGTCGGAACTGGAATTAGATGCTAGTACAGTGATTTTCTTTGAAAGTGAAACAAAATGGACCATGAAAAGTAAAATCACCAACTGACTTTCCAATGTCAAACATCAGACAATGTTCTGATGTAACATTAACTATGTCTTCAGCCAGACAGTAACTTATATAATAATAATAATTGTAAATTTCAATTTCTGACCCAAATGATTTTTTTTATGGTTGCGTGTGGTACTCAGATTTTAACCTTCTCCACAGTTTTCATCAAGATCAAAAGACAAAATAGGTATGTTGGTCAAGTCAGTAAAATTTAGAGAAGATCATGAAGTATGGAATCCAAACTCTGCAACGAAAATGATAATGATAATGATGTTGATTTGAATAAAATGATTTAAGACAAAGATATATTTTAGTGCACTGTGTATTTCTTAACTCAGAAAATTTGCTTGTTTCATTTGTTTTAATTTTTATGATTGCCATGTTGAGTGAATTCATAATTATTGTCATTGAATGTGAAAATTAAAGTGCTTTATTCTTTGTGAATTTGTTGTTGTTGTATGTGTTATTGAAGACACATGCTACCCTTGAAAATAGATCATAGCAAGATACCTTTTAACATTCATTACTATTTTTGTTAAAAAAAAAAAAGGTGTGACAAATGCATTACATGGTACCTGAACTTATTCATGTCCAAAACAAGGGTATAGTCAATAATAAGACATCTATTGAAATTTTTCTATTGCAAGCTGCAAATATACTTCAGACACTAATATCATGAAATTTATCATTACTTTCATTTGCTTATTAGACTTTAGAATGATATGCTTTGTCGGAGGCGTGGCTAGAGTTTAAATGTTGTCTGAAAACTTTTTAAAATCTGTAGTTATCCCCCTCTGATTTATAAGGAGTTGGGAATGTGAGTACCACGCTTCAGCATCATGTTGTCAAGAGTAAATTACATGTACTAAGCTCATCTTACCGTTACCGTTGTTTCAGCCCATTTTTTATTTATTCTTTAAAATCTCTTAGGTATATACAAGCCCCTGCTAACAAGGATTCAGAGAAACGCCACTGCAAAGAGTCTGTTTATATTTATACCTAGTTATTACTCCATGTATCAGAATTATGAATGTACCAAGTTTGTCCCTAAAAACTGGGGTCGTGTGATTTGACCCTCGAACGTCCCCTTGGGTCAAGGTAACTTTTAGCCTTGTTAGACATGAACAATCGTTTTATATAGTGACAGTCATTAGTCTCAGTAGGGGACATTTATCCTTTTCAAGATGTTATTATTTGAAATCGGAGTAAATGGTCATCTTAGTTAAACTATTGTGACAGAAGAATGGAGTTTATATCTGCTATTAGCAGGTCCTTGGGGTTTACAATGGTCTCACTCTGTGGGCATACTAATAGTTTAGTTACTGTAAACCTTGAATTCCTAGGTCATTGAAAATTGACAAATTGGTTCACATCTTTATAAAATAAATTTTATATTGTTTGCGGAAAATAGGGAACTTTGTTCAGAAAATTGGACAAGGAAAAGTGACCTGTTCATGCATCAAATATGCCGATGATCTGTTTGCGAAGAGATCTTTAGATGGTTCAGCTAATCAAACACTTATTTTTTGAAGAATTGAGGCCGACCAGCTCTTATCATTTGTCACGGGAAACAAAATGTGAGTCCCTCCTGAATATTCTATGGCCATCTTCCCTTCTCATTATGATTTTTGGAAACGCCACTGCGTCTTTATGTAGAAACTGCCCCCCTCCCCCAGAAAAAAAATCACTGCAATTAAACAACAAATCCTCCTCCCCCAAAACCCGACAATCAAGTCTGCTTAGGGGCCGGGATGTTGTTCGTCGAGTTAGTTTCAAGGTGAAGCTTAGACCTACATAAGTGTTGTATATGATAAATTATAAATTATAACAGCTTTACAAGGTTATTGGGTACAAAACGACTTTCTCAAACCATCCCCTCTTTTCATAAATAAAACATTCACATCTACCATGTGCTGGCACAAATCGATTTATGGGTTGTTAAAAAGTTTATTGTACATGTATATGGAATTAATGTCAATATCTAACTATAAAGAAAATAAAATGTGGTTATAATATTAAAACTAAATTTATAGACACACGACAGCCCTTAACATTATAGGTGACAATTTGACAATGACATCAGCAACATGTATGAGTACATGTCCCCCTTTTGTGGCTTCACGTTATCAAGAGCTACTATCACAGGCAAATAAAGATTTAAGGCAGTAAGGTGAGAATAGACGGTGTCCGGTGCGGTGTCCGGTGCGAGGTTATCGATACAGTAGAAAAAAGAAGAAACAATCGTGTCCGTATCGTCTCCGGACCCATACCACATGTGTTCACTTCTTCACTTCTTCGTTTGTATCGATTATTCCGCACCGTACACCGCATCGGACACCGTACCTGGTCTATTCCCGGCTTTAAGATGCGAATAGACGAGGTTCAGTGTCCGGTGCAGAGTCCGGTGCGGAAAAATCGATACAAATCGATACACCGGACACGGTGCGGACACGATTCGTTTCTTCTATTTTGTACTGTATCGATAATCTCGCACCGTACCTCGTCTATTCGCACCTTCAGCCAGTTTTGGACCTCGTCTATGGTCAAGACAAAGATACAGCATGTTTCATAATATAAGTCAGTATAACTATCATAGGCCAGAAGTAGAGTCAGCACATTTCAGGCCCAAGGACCAGGTATGATTGTACCTAGCTTGATTTGAAAGTGAAGAAGGGACCTGCTGTAGCCCACAGATAGGTATAAGATACGATACTTGACCAAGTCATTTTAATAAATCTCCCAAAAGAGCATGAGTCAAGAGGTTTTGTGAGAGAGTAACAGCTTTCACAAACCCACATTTTGTAATGAAAACACGAGAAGATGATTGTACTCGAGGACCTACTACCCTATTGACAGTTGTCTTTATTAAGTATTTCTTTCAATCACTTTTATTTTTAAACGATCCTTTTAAACACCGACTTGGAAAGAGAATAAAGTTCCTTAAATCAACATCATGATGTATTGAGCCAGGTATATAGACTGAATTTAAAGGGATAAACCGTCAAACTTCTTAATTTTGCAGTGGCGTTTCTATAGATTATCGAAGTGGAACGGCCGAGTAATGAAACAGGATTGGAATGAAAAGGATTATCACATCCAGCTCTAGTGTACTTAAAGTAAAGGGTCATTTTTTTACCAATCACACTTAGTCTCAGAAACTGGAATTTTTTAGCTGGGCTAATCAGTAAAAGTGTTCACAGCTCACCATCCAGAATTATCTGTGGTTGAATTTTAAAATGACGACTCGTCAATTTAAGATACTCTGTAATATATAGAAAAGACATATATAGACATAGTGAGTAAAATTCCTAGTTTAAAGTATTTGTAAAGGAATTATGTGATTTTCGTACATTTCTAGTATTTCTTAAGACTATTTACATATATTCAAGACTAAAATCAATCCCGTTAATTTGGCTAATGAGCACGACCAACGCCCGAAGTGTGCAATGGGGAACATTTTGCCATGACGGCAACAGCCTACGCCTTTTCCAAATTCAACTGTCCAGGAATCTTTAACCTGTACAGCCTGTATTACACGGGGCCTCGGTTTATTGTCCCATTGCCTAGTATCCTCTTTCAACTGTCATTATATAGGAAAGTTTTCCATTAATGAACATGATAAAGACCGATATAATAAATGATGTAATGAGTTGTGTTTCCATAAAAAAAAGAAAATATTTGCTGTTCTCACGCTCAACCCGGCAATTATTACCTGACTTACTCGGCTTAGATTTAATGAAATAAATTATATTAATAAGAGGTAAAAACTATATACATGGCGTCATGTGAATATTATTAGCGATGAGCAAATCAATGTACTTAAATATGGGTTTTTACTTATTTTTTAGTGTCAAATTAAGCAAAATATTTGATTAATTGGTGTTTCTAATGAATTATCATGTATTCTTAATCATATCATTATGTTCTTATTACATATAATTAGAGTTTTAACTAATCATAAATTTCCATATTGGAATTCTGCTGGTAATTCTCTTCTAATTTAGCTAATTATGAATTAATTATGGACATGTGATTCAAACTGATATTTATCCAAGTCATTAGAATACCTCTACTTTCTATTCATATAAGTATTAGCATAAATGAAAATAAGGGAACCCATCTTTAAATATCAAGTCGTATTCTGTATATCAAACTGATTATGAAGACTTTTTTTGTTTAAACAATATTTATTGATAATTTACAAAATCATACATATGCTATAGATTAATGTTGGTTTCAGAAACAAGCCGAAGCTTATATAAATCTGTTACCAATACGAATATTTACAGATGATAAAAGTATAACTTACATAATGTAGGAGTTGACAGCAGCGAAATGTACATTGGAAACAAAACAGGAAGTGACAAACATATTTACAAAAGGAAAGGGAATAGGGCCGAACAAATTCATTGGTGAATAAAATGTTATTGATAATGACAAATGAAAATAGTTGAGAGGGGATGAGGGTGTTTATAGAGGGGATGAGGGTGTTTATTATGAAGACTTGTAAGAAGAGAAGTTTTGTGTGTATCGATATCTTCACAACGTCAAGCTAGTGCGAACTCAAGGCAAGTTTCTTGGATCACGAAAGCTTGTAAATGCAGCGATTTGACACCGGCGAATACAGCCAATCAGAAGCTTCGACAGAAAGACTGTACACAAACGGCTGCTCGTGTAGTTGAGGTCCCCGATTGGCTTAGTACGAGCAGTTTCAGTGCTGTGGTAGTCTTTCGAATTGAAATATAGAACCCACATCTACTTCCCCATCCTTTCCAAAGTTCCTATTCCCACCTACCGAGCCCCAAAAACTCAGTGTCTGACGCCTCAAAGGAAGAAAGACGACAACAATATTTGGCTAGGATAACATCCTTTATAGGCCTATTAGCTGGTCCTTGGCCAAAACTCTTAGCATTGATCTTTCAAATGATTATTCTTAACCATTTACAGCTAGGTCGTTGACAATAATATCAGTTGCCGA